ACATAGCTGTATGGAGAGATAATATAAACAATAATTGGGTGCCAATACTTCACAGCACTCCCTTAAATGCCCAACAAATACTAATGTAATACAAAATGAGATTGCACACTAGACTACTCCAAAGATATACACATTAATGTTTTATTAAACCAAAACAGGTTACAATAAACAAAAAGCACAACAATCAAATGGAGCACCACATCAAATTTGAAGTGACAAAAAATAGTAAGGCAAATACTTTAAACAGTGGTACTATCCACCGCTTACTCAAGCCTATCCTGGCAGAAACATGAGCCCCTAAAACCCCTAACATTTCAGCACCTCCTGGCTGCCTTTCTTGAGGGTATAATTGACATCTTGAGCACTGGAATGACTGAAGAATAGTCTGTGACTGTCCAAGCCCCTGTAATGTGGAGCATATTTGGAGGTAGTACAGGAACAGAGCAGGTAGGATCTTATGTTCATTCCGCAATTCTGTGAATGGCTTAAGACTTGCCATATATGGTGCAAGTGTGTCAGTCCCCAGCCCTCCCAACCCCTACTATCAAATGTGGGTACTAGGTTACAGGACAGGGGAGTCGCTAACAAAATCGGGCTCCATGTGAGAAGTTTGGACTAAACTTCCTGTGTGTACCATGAGCTCTGTAGTGGGAAGTATGTTCAGAGTTTGAGGTCTCATGGGCTTAGGCAGCCACAATAGGGATTGGGCCACCTCTGTTAGTGTCCAGTGTTTAATCTCCAGCCATTGTGGAAGTGTCGTGAGGTCAGTGGCAGTTATCACCTGGTTGAGCAGGGTGGTGCTGTAATATAAACTTAAGTCAGGGTTCCCCAGGCCCCCATCCACTGTTTTACAGGTGGTTGTGTTCCAGGGAGTCCTGGCCCTTCACCTCCCATTGATAAAACCATTCACTTGTTTTTGTAAAGCGGGCAGGAATGATTAGGGTAGTTCGATCGGTAGATATTGGAACATAATTTGGAGTGTCAGAAGCAACATCATTTTAAAAGCCACTATGCGGCCTGCCCAGGAGATATGCCTTTCTTTCCATTTTTCCATGTCTGAGCGAATGGTTTTCGCTAGCCTACCATAGTTTGCTGTAAAGAGGTCTTGTAAATTTTTAGTGAGTCTTACCCCTGGATAAACTAAATAGTCCTCTCTCCAGTCGTATAGGTACGTCAGTTTCAGTAACTGGGACATCTGTGTATTTATATGTATAGCATAGCTTGTGTCTTAATAATATATTCAGTTTGTAGTCTGAGTATGCTCTGTATTCCTGTAGTGTCAACATGAGAGCAGGGATCAGATTTAGTGGTTGTGTGATGGTCAGTAGAAGAGGCTAAGTTTGTGGATCTGCTCTAATTTTAATAGCCAAGAGCTCAGAAATTTTACATTTGCAGCTGTACTTTAAACAAAACAGATACAAATAAGACACCACAAATTATTATTATTATTATTATTATTGCCATTTATATAGCGCCAACAGATTCCGTAGCGCTTTACAATATTTTGAGAGGGGGGTTGTAACAATAAATAGGACAATTACAAGAAAACTTACAGGAACAATAGGTTGAAGAGGACCCTGCTCAAACAAGCTTACAGACTATAGGAGGTAGGGTATTAGAAACATTAGGACATGAAATATCAAGTAGTTTTCAAAAGTAGTTTTCGTTTTTGTTGCTGCCATTGGCACGTTTTATTTAGGGCTTAACTTCGCACAAGCTCATACTTCACTAAAGTGAGAACAGAAAGTGAATTCAAAGTAAATTTCACATTTAAGGCCACAGTAGCCAATCTGAATACACAGCTAACTTAGAGAAGTGTCCAGTTCAGTTTTTTTACCCAAAATTTATAATATGCTTTGAACTTACTTTGAATTCTCACTTAACTAAAAACCTTTTTATATTTACAAGGAAAAACTATGAAAAAGATTTTAACCGCCACACTGACAGTCCAACTATCTCTATAACAGCACATCTCTTATCGGATCGATCAATACTCCTAGGAGAAAAATAATATAGCATGTAATTTGTATTTCATTAAACATTTTGATATTCTAAAACAGATGATAGAAGCACACTTCTGCTTTTCTCATTTATTTTTTTAGTGCCAACAAATTCCCATGTTAGCTAGATTAGGTAAGGGAAAGAATAATAAAGAGTAGTCAGAAATAAACAGAGGTTGTAAAGGCAGAAAAATTTAAGTTTAAAAAGAAATAAACCTGGCTGTCTCATTAATACCTCCAACAGATATGGAAAAAAAAAACTGTTGATGGGAAATGTGAAAGTTTTGTAATTTTATATTTAGATTTTTTTCTAATATTTATTAATTATCCACTTAATTATTCAGATGCATATCACCTGAGAATAAGAAGTTACTATTATTATAATTGATTTCCAGATAAGTTGAGTGAATTGCATACTAATTGCAGAATGTATACCGACAGACTATTTAGAAGCAGCAGTGTCTGTCATAATGCTTGTGTGGTTTAATAAATCTGTATATAGTAACTGGAAAATATAATAAATATGTAGATTAGATAGCAAGGGACACCATTTTATTTGATAAAGCAATCATCTTTATCGGATTTACTCAGCATATGAAATTAAGAAATACTGTAAAATGGCAAATATTCTAAAAAGTTTATCAAAGATTGTCTACAATTGAGCTTATAAAAAGTGAAAGGTGATTAAAGATAATAAAGGCAAGTCTTGCAGGTGTGAGAATGTCTGTAGAAACACTGTGATTGGTTGGCTTTGGCGGTAGCATTTCCCAATGGGTGTTTCGAGGAAACCCTAGTGTTGCACTTAGGGCCACCCAATGGGCATTGCTGAACAGGGGCCCGGTCTGGCACCATTGAAGACCGTGACCCAGCACCTGTAGTCTCAGATGCTGGGAGGAAGTGACAGCTTGGCACTTCCTCCCAGACATGAAGAATGCTGGAGGTAAAGAGTGGGGAGTGAGCTGCTGCAAGCAGTGGATCACTGTGCTGACCAGGAGTGAGTGAGTGAGAAAGAGGCTGGTGAGTAAACCTCCCACAATACACAACGTGAATGGGATGGCTCTGAGTGATGGCTGATCCCCCTACATGTCTGGATGGCTGAGGATCATAGGAGGCTCCAGGGATCCCCAGATAGTCAATATAAACTGAGCCATCAGCCAGTTAGCTAGTGTAAATTCAGGCGAGATTTATCAAAGTCCATTTCTGGGGTTAAAAAATCTCTTCCAATTTATTATAGTACTAAATGTGGGGGGCTCACTGTCTGTGAGGGTGTACTGTGTTCAGGGGGGTGTAGAGAGTCGGATAGGAAAGAGCTTTACAATTTTTACTTTAATAATTGTTTTAAAAAAAACAAAACAACATTCCCCTTTCCCTGATCTTACCTTGCAGGGAGGGGGTTGCACAAACAGATCCGTGGTGGTTGAGAAGTCTGCCTATCGATCGGGTACAGGGGAAGTCACGAGATGAGAGGTATCTTTCTTGGAGCTCAAGCACTTACACAGACTGACCCATACCAATCCACAGCCTGAACCAAACACATACACAGACTGACCCATACACACACACACACTCACACACACACACAGAGACTGACCCACCCCACACAGACTGACCCATACATACAAACTGAGACCCGCACATACAGACTGAACCCCACACCCACACACACACAGATTGAGCCCCCCTACAAACACATAGACTGACCCACTCCACACAGACAGACCCATAAACACAAACTGAACCACACACACAGACTGACCCCCACCCCCACATACAGACTGACCCATACACACACACACAAACAAACTGAGCCACCCCACACATAGACTGGCCCCCACACACAGACTGAACCCCACAAACATAATCTGAGCCCCCCACACACACAGACTGACCCACCCCATACAGACTGACCCATACACACAAACTGACCCACACACACAGACTGATCCCCCACCCCCACACACAGCCTGACCCATAAACACACACACACACAGACTGACCCCCACACATACTGAACCCCACACACATAGTCTGAGCCCCACACACACACAAACTGACCCCCACCCCCACACACAGACTGACCTCCCCCCTACACACACAGACTGATCCTCCACACACAGACTGACCCATACACACAAACACACACAGACTGACCCCACACACAAACACAGACTGACATCCCCCTGCCCCCCCCTCACACACAGAGAGACTGAACCACACACACTGACTCACACTTGTTCGCAGCTGCTTGGATGCCTCATTCCCCCATACTCTGTGCAGAGCTAAGCTTCCTCTCCCTTTCTCTCCCCTACGCTGCTCTCAATGACCCAGGTCCTCCCAGCACAGTGCCCTCTCTGGCTGCTTGTGGGAAAAGGGTGGAACACAGTTCCATAGTGACAGTGCTGCTGCAGCCAGGGCCATCTATAATATGAATAGGACCCTGGGCAAAGCATTTTCTTGAGCCCCCTGGGCCCTGTCCCTGCACCCCCCTCCCCATTACGCCCAACCCGCAATCACACTGACAGATATACTGACACATACACACACAGAGAGACATATTAAAACATTCGCAGATACATACTGACACACACATACACTGACACACAAATATATACTGGCAAATATATTGACACACATTCAGACATACTGATACACACACAGACACACATACATAAAAACATACACTGACATATATACTGACACACACACAGACACATACACTGACAGAAATACTGAAACACATACACTGACAGGCGTATTGACATACACAGACATACTGACATACACACACAGACATACTGACATACACACACAGTATGTCTGTGTGTGTGTTAGTGTGTGTGTGTGTGTGTTAGTGTGTGTGTGTGTGTTAGTGTGTGTGTGTGTGTTAGTATGTCTGTGTGTGTGTTAGTGTGTGTTAGTGTGTGTGTGTGTTAGTGTGTGTGTGTGTGTTAGTATGTCTGTGTGTGTGTGTTAGTGTGTGTGTGTTAGTGTGTGTGTGTGTGTTAGTATGTCTGTGTGTGTGTGTGTTAGTATGTCAGTATGTCATACTGACATACACACACAGACATACTGACATACACACACAGACATACTAACACATACATACTCACACACACACACATACACACACACACACATACATACTGACACAAACACAAACATACTGACATACACACACACACACACAGAGACATACTTGCACACACACACAGACATACTAACACACACACAGGCATACTGACATACATTTAGCCACCCTCCAGGTTCTTACCTTTTTATGGAGGGTGGTTTCCCTGGGGTCCAGTGGCAGGCTGAGGCAGTTGGGAGTTATCTTGAAGAACTCCCCTCCTCCCTGCCTTCCTCCTCCCACGCGGCTATTATCTCCGGTGGGAGGAAGTGACACGCCACACTCCCTCCCAGCCGGTACAGAAAGGGGCCCGGTCGCGCTGTTTAAGCGTCACAGCGCCCGACCGGGCCCCTGCTGACACATGGTAACCGGGTGGCCCTTAGTGCATGGGCCACCCTGGGGGCCTCCTTGGTTGGCGGGCCGGTGCGGCTGCACCGCCGGGTACATGGGGGTTGCTGAAATCACGGGCCCATGGGGCAGCTGATCTGGGGCCCCCCAGTAGCAACTGGGCCCGGGGCAACTGCCCCGTTTGCCCTGTGCTAAAGGCGACCCTGGCTGCAGCTTGTGTAGGGAGACTCCGTGCTCCCGACTTCAATTTCAATTGGGGGGGCACTGCATGATGTGGGGGGGGGGCTGCCCCTGACCCCCCTAGTGATGCCCCTGATTGGAGTATAACTGCTACAGTTTAAATGTAAGTTTATTGTATGTATAGTTTTAAATACAGCAGCATAACCAGTTATATGGTGTGTTGTCAACAGGCAAATTATTTTCTCAGTGTTCATTTGCATGTTTTAAGTATAAACTTTTCATTTTTAAAGATTGTTATATGCCTGTTAAATTGTTTATTTTTTGTGAGAAATGAAAACCACCAGGAGTAAGTAGAAATCTTCAGGTTTAAAATGTCCAGAAAATTGAGTTTCTCGAGTAAATTGAACAGAATTGTATGTTATTGTTTATGTTCATTTTGTTGTGTGGTGTATGCAGAAGTAAAAATATGTTTTGTTGTTCTCATCTGAGAGAAAATGACAAATAGTAGTTACTTCACAGGAGGCTCATATAATATTTTCAGACTAAAATAAATGTGTGCTACCAAATTACTAATCATTTCAAGTCATTTACAAATAGGGAGCAGAGAAGGATGAGAAATGTGTGTGATAGGCAACAATTCATATATATTTTCATGAGAGCAATCTGCTTTGTAAATTGACAGTCTACAGAGCTTCGGATGTCTGGCTAGCAGAGAAATTCATCTGTATTCTGAGAAAGTAATAAATGATCTGTCATCATTAATAGCCAGAGGAAAGGGTTGACAGCTCAACCTGATTAAATGAGAGACCCTAGCACTTTAACATTGAACACCGCAGTTGAAAGATATAAGAAATGCATAGATTTACTAAAAGCTTGAATTCTCTTTAAAAAATGTTTATCTAATGATTTACCATATTAGCAGTAATTGTAAATGACAATAGATTTGAGTTGGAAGCCGAATGCATCGTTATGTTTGGTCTTTTGCATGCCTCATACGTGTTATATGTTAACGATACTAGAGACAATTAATTCACCTCATTTACATTACCTGCTGAATATATCAGTGAGAGAGGTGCATTACATCCCATGCATTATATATAGAGCATATTGTAAATCTAATGTATTATTAATGTAGTATATACTGAGAGTCATCATCAAAAATGCATATTTTCATATATGATCTAAAACTGTGTATAATGTAAACAAAAAAAGAGCATTATTGTAAATGAAATTATAGTAATATACATTTTAGTTCTCATAATGGGCAAATATGATGAGTCAATGGATTCATATCTCCATCCACAATGATTCTACATTTACTTGACATTAAATGTAAACAGATTACAGAGTTTCTATGGAAACTGTAGCTATTCTGTGATGTGAGATCACATGTTCTGTGATTTGATGTGTGTGTGTGTATATATATATATATGTGTATGTATGTATATATGTATGTATGTATGTATGTATATATATATATATATATATATATATATATATACTATTTTTTTTAGATGAAGATAGAATGATAGAAAGATAGACTGACAGACTATTGGACTGGATTTTTGGTAAATGGTGAATAGTGGAACAAGCAGTGGATTGGTTGGAGGATGGAGAACCCAATGAAAATTATTGTACAAAGTACTAACACAAATACTTCTTACCGGTCACATTACATATAACTTGGCAGGCCTAAAGTTAATCTTTAAACACTTCTTTCATTAAAAACATGTCTACATTAAGGGCTGAACTAATGAACATTAAGCTTGGGATTCTCTCTCAGGACTGTATACTTTGTGCCAAGGTAATATTTACTTTGGTGACACTAGTCATGTACTGGGCTGTTACATGCTTTAAAGGCAAATGGTTTTTGTTTATCTTCATCACAACATAGCTAAAATTAGAACTGGGTATCCAGTGGGGGGCTTTCTTACCATTTATTACCCTCTCTCCGAATTAAGGATATCGCTTGGCTGTAAATGTTCCTGTGTCTTGAGCATAAAGCAAAGTTTTCTACATGTCCTTTATAAATATAAAAACTGTAATCAAACATTACCCACTATTTTGTAGACACACAATCAAAATGATATATATCTATCTCCATCTTTTTCCGCACAAACTCGGACACAAAAAAATAGAAATACTCAAAAGCTATTAGAACCACATGTAAAATAATAACCATGGTACGGTGTTCACACGTCCTTATCCTACACTTGTATAACATCCAGATATAAAAAAAAAAGACCTATATAACTGCCAGTAGTAAATACAAATTAACTCCTGCAACTCCCTAGTGCTCATTTTTTTTTTTCCTGCAACAAGGACCCAACAACAGTTTCAGTCTTATGGCCTCCCTCAAACCTCACCCCTTAAATATAAAATAATTCAGGCAATCTCAGGCAGGCACACTCATGAATATACAGACGCCTTCTCTGAACAGCAGAAACATACAGAAACACATGCATGCACAGTCATTCACGTTTAGATGGAGATGGAGACCTATATAAACAAACATGAGCATACAGATACACTAGTCCATAGAGAATTCAAAGACACATGTAGATTAACTCATTTATAGATAGAAGCATGTGTGGAGACACACAAATAGAAACAAAAAGTTAGGAATACATATATTCCAAACTTCAATTAGCCAAATTCAGTTAACCAAATTAGCAAGTGTCATATAATTTGGTTAACTGAATTTGGCCAATTGAAGTTTGGAATACATGTATTCCTAAATTATTTTGCACACCTGCAAAAATTACAAAACACTGTAATTAGCAACATTTTAATAACTAAATCATATGTGTGAAAGGCCAATTCAGTTCAAATGTTATTTCTGAATGAAAATATTTCATTTGTTACCACCAAATGTATGTATTAAAATCCACAATTCACACATATTCATACTAGACAAATCATCAAATGAATGACTGTTTGACTGGCCAAACTAATGTTTGTTTTTTTACTTTCAGTGGAAATTACTCGATCTAGCCAAATTTGACCGAATTCTTTTCAGATTTGCTATATTTAAATAAATTAGTTAATTCACCTGCTTTTTGAAAACCTACAAATATCCAAAATATTTGCTCACTGTCATCCCAAACTATAACATAAATGTCATAAAGTCATTTATTGAAATATTTATTGAGCTAGGTATTTAGAATCTCCTTGTGGTATATTGGGTATATTGGACTCACTTTTCCCTGTAGTTAGTTATTAAAATGTTGCTAATTACAGTGTTTTGTAATTTTCGCATGTGTGCAACTAATTGGCAACTAATTGACTACAAATTTGGTCCAACTGAATTTCTCTATATGAGTGTTCAGTTGCATATTTCCACCATTCAGTTCTGGATTTCAGATTCCATCTGATAATCTAGTAAACATTAAAGTTAATTTGTAAGCTGCATTGCAAATCCAGACATAAGAAAATAGTGTGATTCATTTTCAGATTTTGTCAATCAGGACTAGGGCATTCAGACTTTAGTGTATAACCCTGAGACAGACACTCATGTATTGACACACTTGCACACAATCTCACTTTTATGTGTCTTCCTGTCATTTATGTGCATATCTGCCCTCCTTAATATTTCACCCACTACTTCAAATTCAGTATCCTTTGCCATCTTATATCCTATTCTCTCCATTGCACAATATTTTATGCCCCTATCTTTATTCAATTTAATCCCTCCTTTCCTATGGCCATCTTATTCATTCTTGTTCACGTGTATTCTCATTACTTTCCCCATCCCATCTAATACCATCATACTTGCTATGGAATTTGCTGATGCTATATAAATAATAATAATAATAATACCTCCATATTATAGCACCATATTATCTCCAATCCTTATATCATGACATGTGATTATCTTATTCCCATATCTCCTGCCCCCATTGTCATTCTATCTTGCCCCTGTGGGATGGTGGCATCAGGTTGAATCATGGGCTGCCGTTTTCTCCTCCATTCATGCAGGACGTGCAATATGCATAATTATCTTTTTTTTGTTTGTTTAAAATGCTTTATAGCATATTGTTTTCATATATTGGCATTTCAATGTTTGCTAAACATTTTTTACAAGTTACATGTACTTAAAAAGGGCACCAAAAAACTAATCTAAGAAAAACTAAAGGAAAATAACTTTGTTGAAACTCTTTACAACGGTTTCCTTATTTGTTTTTACTAAACATTAAAGTGGTATAATTAATCTTCTTCAACGTTACTGGAATCAATGTGCATGGAAAAAAAAACGTGGTTTGATTACAAACTGCATAAGAAATATCTGCACGAATCTATTTGTTTATTTTAAGTTAAAACAAACTATTTAGTAAATTGCATTGACTTCTAAAAGTACAAACATGCTGTAAAACTGATGTTTTATTTTCCTGCAAATGTTTATTATACATCCTTTATTAATAA